TTGTGTTTTGTGTTTTTTTTGGATTAAACCTCGATTTATTTTTTGTATGAAAAAGATCTTGTATTTTTTTCATTTTTTGTGAAAAAAAAAAAAGACAAACCTCGGCTTTGTAATTTTTCTTGAAAAAACCTTCAACCTTCTAAATGATTCCAAATAAACCCTCAACTTTTTTAGTTTTTCTTGAAAAAACGCTCACATTTTACAAATTTTTACGGGGTTAATCTTAAAAAAACCATATATTTTGTGTTGTTTATGGATTAAACCTCAAATTTATTTTGACTGAAAAAGACCTAGTACTTTTTCATTTTTTCAAAACAAACCCTCAACTTGAAGTTTTTTTACCAAAAAAAAAAACCTAAACCTTCTAAATGCTTCCAGATAAACCCTCAACTTTTTAAGTTTTTCTCAAAAAAAAAAAAAAAAAAACCCTGGCATTTTACAATTTTTTTTGGAAAAAAACCGACTAAAAAGACCAGATAAAAAAAAATGAAAAAATACAAGGCCTTTTTAAGGCAAAAAATAAATTTGAGGTTGACAAAGGGTAGCTTTTATTTGTCATACGAGTGTTTGGCAAAAGGTAGCTGGAAGCTTTTGAAATGTGTAAAATTACATAAAAGTACAACTGTTTAAAAAAGATAAATATATAATTATATTTTTAAAGATAATTCTGGAGAGTGATTAAAAAAGCTCAATAAGTTTTTCTTAAACACTACATGGATGATTAGCTTTTAGATTTGAACTTTTTTGTTTAAACAGGAAAAAAAAAAGTACAATGGATGGATTTTTAAAAGTACAATGCTATAAAATAGAGTTCTAAAAGTACAAAAAAAATATATCATAAAATAATAATAATAATAATAATAATAATAATAAAGAAAAAATGGATTTAGGTGAATTACCTCAGCCCTATATCTTAGAAACTCCACAGCATTCTTTTCAAGAAGTGGAAAAGGAGCAATATATGTCAACTCTTTATCTTCATTTTCTCCCAAAAACAATTTAATTTCTTCAAATATCTCCATTTCTTCAGGGGAAACCTATTCAAAAATCACAAATTTCAATTAAAAAATAATCAAGATAAAAAATTTAAAAAATAAATCACTTACAATTGAGACAGATTGACCCGTATTATACGCTCTTCCTGTACGCCCTATTCGATGTACATATCCAGCAGCAGTTGTAGGCATATCAAAATTTATCACCTGTTAACAAAAATATATATATATATATATATATATATATATATATATAAA